CATGGAGGGGATTGTAACCATGGCAGGGAAATGATATACGATAGGATGAATGTAAAGCTAATGTTCTCCCATGTAAACTATCACATAATCCACAATAAAAAATAAAAAAGTTAGAATAACAGACTGTCGTTGTTGTTGTTAGGTGCCATCTAGTTCGTACCTACTTTTAGTGGCCCTGTGCCCAACAGGACGTAACATTGCCAGGTCCTGGGCCATCCTCACAATGTTGTTACGCCTGAGGTCATTGCTGCTACCACTGTGCCAATCCATCTTGTTGGGGGTCTTCCTCTTTACTTCTGACTCTCCACTTTACCAAATATGATATTCGTCTCCAGGGACTGATCCGTCCTGATAAGATGTCCGGACTATGAAAGACAAAGTCTGGTCTTCCTGATTTCCAAGGAGTACTCTGGTTGTACTTCTTCCAACACAGATCTGTATGTTCTTTTAGCAGTACATGGTACTTTGAATATTCTCACCAACACCATAAATGCATCAGTTCTTCTACAGTCTTCCTCATTCACTGTCCAGCTTTCGCATGCATGTGAGGTTATTGAAAATACCATGGCTTGGGTCAGGCACACCTTAGTCCTCAAGCTGACATCTTTGCTCTTCAACACTTTAAAGAGGTCTTCTACAGCAGATTTCCCTAATGGAATACACTATTTGATTTCGTGACTGTTGCTACCATGAGTGTTGATGGTTGATCTGAACAAAATGAAGTTTTTGCCAACTTCAATATTTTCTCTGTTTATATGGATGTTGTTCATTGGCCCAGTGGTAAGGATTTTGGTTTTCTTGACATTGAATACAATCCATAATGAAAGCTGTGGTCTTTTCTTTTCATCAGTATTTTAAGTCCTCTTCCCTTTCAGTAAGCAAGGTTGTATCATCTGCATATCGCAGGTTGTTAATGAGTCTTGCTCCAATCCTGATGCCACGTTTTCCTTCGTGTAATGCATCTTCTCGGATGATTTGCTCAGCCTACAGGTAAAGTGAAAGAATAGTAACCTGGAGCTCAACTTCCCTCATTTTTTAATCCATTCAGTGTTCCTTTGTTCTGTTGAAACGACTGCCTCTTGGTCTATGTACAGGCTCCTCAGGAGCATAAGCAAGTGTTCCGAAATATTCATTCTTCACAATGATAGCCATAGCTTGTCATGATCCACACAATCTAAAGCCTTTGCATAGTCATTGAAACACAGGTAAACATCTTTCTGGTATTCTCTGCTTTCAGTCAAGATCCATCCTGACATCAGCAATGAAATGCCTCGTTCCGTAGCCTCTTCTGAATCCAGCTTGAACCTCAGGAAGTTCTCTGTCAATGTGTGATTGTAGTTGTTTGCACATTATCTTTAGTAAAACTTTACTCGCATGGGACATCAGTGATAACTGTCTGATGATTTCTACATTCTGTTGGGTCACCTCTCTTTGCAATGGACACAAATATGGATCTCTTCTAATCAGTTGGCCAGATAGTTGTCTTCCAAAGTTCTTGTCACAGATGATTAAGTGCCTCCGGTGCCACATCAGTTTGTTGAAAGATTTCAATTTGTATTCCATTAATTCCTGGTACCTTGTTCTTCACCAATTCCTTCAATGCACCTTGGACTTCTTATCTAGTTGAACATCAACCAATTCTTCTGTTACTCGGACTCTCTATTCCTTCCATCTTCTATTGATGCTTTCTGTATCATTCAGTATTTTGCCCATAGGATCCTTCAATACCACAAGTTGAGGTTTTATTTTTTTCTTCAGTTCCTTAAGCTTGAGAAATGCTGAGCATGTTTTATGTTTTCTCTTTTGGTTTTCTAACTCTACGTCTTTGCACATTTTGTTATAATATTTGACTTTGTTTTCTTGAGATGATCTTTAAAATTTTCTGTTCAGCTCTTGTACCTCCTCATTTCTTCCATTTGCTTTAGCATCTCTATATTGGAGAGCAACTTTCAGATTCTCTTCTGACTCCATTTTGGTGTTTTCCTTCTTTCTCATCTTCTCAATCATCCTTTGCTTTCTTCCTGTCTGATGTTCTTGATGTCATCTCACAACTCTTCTGGTCTTCAGTTTTTAGTGTCTAATGCTTCAAATATGTTCTTCAGATGATCTCTTAAATTCAGGTGGGAGCTAACCAAGGTCATATTTTGGCTCTCGTGGACATGTTTTAATTTTCTTCTGTTTCAGCCGAATTTGCATATGAACAATAGATGGTGTGTTTCACACTCTGTCCCTAGCCTTGTTTTAGCTGATGGTATGGAGCATTTCCACCACTTTCCAAAGATGTAGGCAATTTGATTTGTTTACATTCCATCTAGTGAGGTCCATGTGTATGGTCGTCTTTTATGTTGTTTAAAAAAGGTATTTACAATGAACAAGTTGTTGGTCTTACAAAATTCTATCTCCAGCATTGTTTCTATCACCAAGGTCATATTTTCCAACTACTGATCCTTCCTCTTTGTTTCCAACCTTTGCATTCCAATCAGCAATAATTATCAATACATGTTGTTTGCATGTTTGATCACTTTCAGACTGAAGAAGTTGATAGAATTTTTCAATTTCATCATCACTGGCTTTGGTGATTGGTACGTAAATTAGGATAGTTGTTGTTGTCATGTGCTGTGGAGTCAGTTCCGACTTATAGCAACCCTGTACAGGGTTTCCGAGGTTGTAAATCTTTACGGGAGCAGAAAGCCACCTCTTTCTCCCACGGAACAGCTGGTAGTTTTGAACTGCTGACCTTGCGGTTCACAGCCCGATTCGTAACCACTACGCTATCAGAGCTCCTCATTTGGAGAGTAGTGTATGGATATTATCCTATCACAGACAGCATTGTACTGCAAGACACATCTCGAGATGTTCTTTTTGATGATGAATCTGATGCCATTGCTCTTCACTTTGTCATTCCCAGCATAGTAAACCATGGGATTTCCAGATTCAAAATGGCCAATACCAGTCTACTTCAGCTCACTGATGCCTATAATATCGATGTTTATGTGTTCCATTTCATTTTTGACCATTTCCAGTTTTCTTAGATTCATACTTCATACATTCCCTGTTCCGATTATTAGTGGATGTTTACAACTGCTTCTCTTCATTTTGAGTTGTGCCCCATCAGCACATGAATGTTCTGAGGGCTTTACTCCTCCATTTGCATCATCACGTTCCACTCTACTTTGAGGAGGCAGCTCTTCCCCATTCACATTTTGACTGCCTTCCAACCTGAAGGGCTCATCTTCCAGCACTCCATCTGACAATATTCTGGTGCTCTTCATCATGTTTCAATGATCAGTATTCTGGTGCTGACAGTGTTTCATCTCTTTCCAGTGGCTATATAGTCTAAAGTAGTCCATCTCTCCTTCTTACTCTAGAAATTCAGCTAAACTTCTTCATCATGGGAGACCCTGCTGGCATTTAAAATACCTGTGGTTTAGCTTTCAGCATCACAGCAGCAGGTGAGCCACCACAGTGCGACACACTGACAGAGGAGTGGTGGGCTTAATAGATCATCTCATGGATTTGTTTATATTTAAAATCCAGAACCATGTTTCTTTTATAATCACTTTGATAAACTGTTTTATTATTTCTATAGACCTTTATACAGATTCTTAAAGAAGCTAGTTCAGGGAAGTTATGTTGTTACCACAGTTAGGACATGTGGATTGCTTTGTCTCCTTATCACACTGCGCTCTGATAGAGTACATTTCTATAAGATAATGTAGCATTTGGGGGGAACAAGATTAAATCGAAGGCAATCACATGAACACTTGTGTTACAGACACATCTATCTTTAACAACTCCAATAAAATGTCTTAGTAAGAGATCAGCCATATCACCAGTTCTGTTAGCCACAAATAAACTCATTCGGGGTCGTGATAACTCCATACGATAAGCCCTGGACTGAAAAACATAAGGTCCACAGTTCAAACCTGCCAGCCACTCCGAAGAAGAAAAATGAGGTTTCTGTTCCTGCTAAGATTTAAAGCCTTGGAAACACTACACAGGGTCACCATGAGTCGGAACTGACTCAACGGCCTTAACAAGATCACTCAGATAAATAGCAAGTTGTATAGAACAAGTAAGTATACCTAAAGAAGTTGTGTTTCACAGGGAAATTATTTTTCCCTTTCAAAAGTTAACTTGAAAATGATACATGAAGGTTGATTCAACAACCATGTATTTTTTAAACCAGTTCTCTTTAATTTTAGCATTTTCCCCTTTGTTTAAAAAAAAAAAAATAATGCTAATTCTATCCAAGCCTCAGAAGTGCCTTCAGTATTTAGGGTATTAGAGAAACCACTACAGCAGCCAGAATGGTGGTGGTGGTGTTTACATGCCGTCGAGTTGGTGCTGACCATAGCAACCCTGCGTAGGGTTTCCAAGGAGAGGCTGGTGAGTTCGAACAACTGAGATGTGGTTCAAACCAAGCTTGCAGTTCGGTTCTTTATCCCACAGTGCCACACCAGGACTCCAAGACTGTATTGTATATCACTACAAATACTGATGAAGGTTTAAGCAGGCCAGAGTTTTCCTGAGAGGTGGAGGGGCTTCAGTTTTATTTTCACCTGGCTGTATTTCCATATCTCTTCTTTTATCTGAACTTGCCTCTTTGGCTACAGGGAGAACACCTGCAGAGACACAAAAACTGAATCACTGTGAACCACAGAAGGTCAAGAGGACCACCCAGATTTCTGCCTTTTTGTGGAGGTAGTCACTTGCATACTCACAGCATGGCAGCCATTGCTCTGCCTCCAACATGGACTCTGTCTGCACAGAACTCTGCCTGTTTTGATGTGGCCAATACTATGGAGGAAGAGATGGTCGCTACATTTCCAACAGCGTCATTATATAAACCAGTAACTTTCACAGATGTGGCTGTGGAGTTCACACAGGAGGAATGGGTAATGCTAGACACTGCTCAGAGAAATTTGTACAGAGATGTGATGCTGGAAAATTATAGAAATCTCACCTCAGTAGAGTCTCAGTTATGCAGGCCAACAGTGATTTCCCTGATAAATGAAAAAGAGAAAAGTGTGAAAAGGAGAATTTCCCAAGCCATCTGTCCAGACTGGGAGGACCAACTTAAAACCAAAGACTCAACTCCTAAGCAGAGAATTTTTTGTGAAAAACCATCCAAAATGGAAAAAGTCACAGAGGATAATTATTGGTCCTTTATATTAGGAGAAGATTTAGAATGCTATACAATAGAAAACAAGATCCCAGCGGGACATTTGAGACAAGTGAACTTTACCCAGAGGCAAGCAGCATCTCAGGAAAGGTTCTATGATCCTTATGATTTTGAAGAAAACTCTAAACCTGGCTCAAGACTACTTTCTTCCCTGATAGTTTCTACCAGTAAACATGGCTGTAAATGTGACTCAGATGTTGAAGGTTCCAAGCATAATTTAGGCATAAACAATTATCAGAAACATTCGGTATGTGAGAACTTCTGTGGAGGTTATGAATATGACAGAGCTCTAGGGCATACCGAAAGAAGTCCAACAACACAGAGTGAGTACACATGCTCCAAATGTGAGAGACACTTCCAGCATAATATAGTTCCTATACATAACAATTTTCCTATCATGGAGAATTCTTACAAATGCAATAAAAACAACAAAACCACTTGTCCTAGTTTATACTTTAATCAGCAGGAGCAAACTCATGCTGGAGATAAACATAAATATAACCAATGTGGGAAAGCCTTCAAAAGGATTTCTAATAATACTTTGCACAAGAGAAGTCACATGGGTGAGAAACATTATGAATGTAAAGAATGTGGGAAAGTCTTCAATGATTCCTCAACTTTAAGGAGACACGTGAGAACTCACACAGGAGAGAAACCCTATGAATGTAATCTATGTGGGAAAGCATTTAGTCAAAAAACATCTCTTAAGTCTCATGTGAGAACTCACACTGGAGAGAAACCTTATACATGTCATCAGTGTGGAAAATCCTTTGGCACCAGCTCTTACCTCATAGTTCACAAGAGAATACACACTGGGGAGAAACTCTATGAGTGCAGTGACTGTGGAAAAGCCTTCAACACAAGCTCTCACCTTAAGGTGCACAAGAAAATACACACTAGAGAGAATCTTTATGAATGCAGTAACTGTGGAAAAGTATTTAGTGGTATCTCATCCCTCCGAATGCATGTGAGAACTCATACTGGAGAAAAACCTTATGAATGTAAGGAGTGTAGGAAGGCCTTCAGTGTTTCCTCTTCCCTTAGGAGACATGTGAGAACTCACACAGGTGAAAAACCCTATGAATGTGTTCAATGTGGAAAAGCCTTCAGTCAGAGCTCTTCACTTATTATACATAAGAGAATTCATAATGAGAGAGAAACCATTTAAGTGCATGCTTATAAAAGTTTATCAGTGTCTTGAGGAAGATTCTGAGCTTATCATCTTTGTTCTGCTACAAGCTGAACACTTTAGCTGTAACAATATTTTTATCTATAGCGGCTTGGCTTATTCATAAATATTATGTAATGTCTATGAATGACCTTTTTGAGCCATGGGCTATTCTGCATTGTGTGTATTTACTATGTGAGATATGAACTTTTTTGTTACCTTCTCAGTGATCAGTTTCTAAGTTTGTTTCATTGTGTTCATAGCCCAATGTGGCAGTTATTGCCAGCAGTCAATTTACAAGGAGTCTTTAAAGAGTTTGTAGAAAAATGAAATTAAGCAAGAATGGAATTCTTACATGAACTTTTTGAAGCTCCCTTGTATATCCAGCCTGTCCTTATGAACAGATACCACTTTAGCTAAGGACTAAAATATGTCCAGTTACAAAACCTCTCTTAGCCTCTTTGTAGCCAAGGATAGCATTATCTCACATTTCTGCTCAGTCATAGACTAGTATCAGTGGCTCAGACCTATCTGTTTTGTTCGCTTTGACTTTTGTACTATGCGCTTCCTTTTCTCCTACCTTTGAATTTGCTATTCCTGGAACTGGACCAGGAGAATGACAACCATGACTTAAGGGTGGTGTAAAAGAGACCCTTTAAATGGTGACACTAGCCCCTTACCGCTTAAATAAGGGTATCTTTTTATGTGAGCAAAACAAGTTTATTGTTTTTTTTAAAAGGCAGTATGGATATAGTCTCCTTGTTTGTTTGGTTTTTTCAAAGCACAAATAGTATGTACAGTTACATGTTTTATTTTGGATATGCACATTTTGATAGGAACATAAAAAACTATATAGAAGAGGAATGTTGAAATAGCTTTTGTGTTTAAGCAGAAGATAGATGGAAATGAAGTCACTGAGAACAGATCATCAGAGAAACAAGGAAATCCCAATACTCCAGCATTAGAAACCCAAAGAATCTTCAAATAGTGGGGAAATTGCTAATTTGTAATGCTGTGTGGAACCCTTGAGACAATGCTGCTTACTCTTACAATACGGACAAGAGAAGCTAAAATTTACTAAGACACCAAATATACAATGAGGGCTATCTGCTGGGAAGCAGTGGCCCTTGCACTTTGAGTTGCGTTAGCCTTGTAGGCCAGGGGAACACTGTGACTGCAGGATAAGCACTGGACTACTAACCAGAAGGTTGGTGGTTTGAGCCACTCGCTGCTCCACAGGCAAAACTTGAGGCTTTCTAGTCCTGCAAAGGTTTACAGTCTCAGAAACCCTATACAGGGTCACTGAGTTAGAACCCACTTAACAACAAAGGCATCCATCTATACAGATTGGTATGTAGGTCTAGTCTTCAGGAGTTATCTAGAATGAAATGGAATTTCAGCAATATACAGATGAAAAAAGAGTGAGTAGGAGAAAGAGTTGTTTTGGGGGAGAAATGGGAGGTCTTAAATTGAGAAACTAGAACATACTTAAACCTTAATGGGATGGATCTAGTAGAAATTAACTATACAGTAATAAGATCAGTAATCACAGAGTTCTTGAGAAGAGACTGTGGAAGTATCTGGGACACAAATGGGATTGATGTTTGCTGAAAATGGTTACCTCACCTTTTTCTCTAACTTAACTGCCTTATTTTAGCATCTTTGAACACTGAGGCTGTTTGGTTTTTACCATTGTGACAGATACTGCTAGTTAATAACGAAATCTGCATTTTCTCCTTCCTTACTAATAGAACCCCAGTTTTGCTAAGGATAGCAATGCACATACTTTAAAGCACATTATCTCAGCCTCTCTGTATTTAAGAGTGGCCATTTACCCTGTACCTGGCCAATCACACGAGCAAACACTGGTGGTACTGTGTTAGGTGCTAGGCTGCTAATAACTGAAAGGCCAGCAGTTAAAAGTCACAAGCTGCTCTGCTAGACAAAGATGTGGCCGTTCGCTTCCATAAAAACATACAACCTTGAAAACCTTATGGGGGCAGTGCTACTTTGTCCCTACATGGTTGTTAGGAATCAGAATCGACTCCATGGCAATGGATTTGGCTTCCTCAGTTTCCTCTATAAAACAGACCTGAGCTAGGTTGTGGTAGCAAGACCGTGCACTGAGAACACGATGAATGAAAGACTAATTGAAGGTTTTACTGAGTATCTCCAAGTTGCCAGTAGGGCCTTCAAAGTAGAAAACACTACAGCAAGGAGCAAAGTCTTCACTGAATGAGAAGAGTCTAACTGTATGGAAGAAAGTGAGCAAAGTCATGTGAACCTCAAAGAGGCCGATTTACTCCATTTTTGTTCCTTCAATATAACAATATTGGGGAGCAAACACAGGGGCTTCTCATGATACCTATTTCCTACAAAATCACTGGACACTGACATGGCTAGCACTGAACCATAGCACTAGGGGAAATAACCCAGTTAGGTTCTTACAATTCATCAGCAACTCAACACATAACTTTGTTTTCAATGCTTCTATTCTTGAAGACTTCTTTAATGCTGATGTTTCGTTGACATTGAATCCAGTCAACTCATGTCTAAACGAAACTTATCGAACACATCCGAGGGGTTTCAAAAGTTCATCGAAAAAAATCCACTATCCTTTCATTCTACTTTCCATCAAACTTTGAAGCCTCACTGGATTATCTTGTTAAGGCACGCCATACCCTTCTTGGACTCAAACACTGCTTGGCATTCATTTTGAACAGGGAAATCATCACCCCAAAACAACAGAAAACTGGCCCTAAATAGATCAGTATTTGTTAACAGTGTTAACAGCATGAATAGAGGCAGAGCACATTTAGCAGTTCAGACCCACTAGTCGTGGTGGGTTTAAGGCCTTGGAAACCCTATTGGGCAATTCTCTGTCTTCCTGGGTCACTATGAGTTGGAATGACTTGATAGCAGTGGGGGGAGGGTTGATGCACTGTTAGGGAGCCTTAACCCTAAACCAAACCTGCCTCCCTAACACTCCACAAAAGGACAATCAACATTTTATTACTGAATAAGCACTAAACCAGTATGTCATGCATATCACAGACAGTCCACTAAAGAGATTGCAAATACAGAAACTGTCCTTTTATGTAGCCAAGGAGCTCAGTTCATACATGGTATCAAGACGAAGAGATGATACAGAACCCATCTTCAATTAAGGGTTAGGTCGTTCAGAATAATGGTGCATGGAGGAAATTTTTATTTTTAGGAATTCTTATTTTTGACAAAATGATTCTGGTCTCATGGCTCTGGTAGGCTAGCGTACAGGCTGCCTGCAGAGGTACTACCCCTACCATACTGCCTCTCACTCGCTTCAACACTGGCTTCATTCTTTCTCCTTCATCCATAACACTTTCTCTTGCTTCGCTAAGGAGGCCACATTTAGTTTAGAAATATAAAGTCCTGCTTACAATGAGATCTCGGGCCTAATTTCTCCGATTGCAGTTCAACCAATTTTCTCTCTATAAATTCCAGCTATGCTTCTTCCAAGTCAGACTTCTGCACTTGCTTTTCCCCACTAGGTCTACACCAAACCTGCCCATGGGCCAAGTCCGACATGAATTTTTATATTGCCACGAAGCCAACAATGGTCTTTACATTTCAAAATGTTATTTAGGAAAAAGTAAAAATATTTTGTGACACAGATATTGTAAGCTATTGTAAGAATTCAAAATATCAATGTCTGAAAATAAAGTTTATTGAAACATAATCATACTCATTTGTTTTCATCTTATATGTGGTTGCTTTTATACTAAATTGGCAAGAATACTTACAACAGAAACCTTATGACCTGGAAATCTAATGTATACATAGCCCTTTGTAGACAGTGTTTGTGGTCTTCCAGTCTAGATTTGTACTTAGCTTTAAGTCTGTTTAAACAATTTTTTAAACCAGATTCTGCATGATTTCTAGCCCCACCACAATCTTGTTAGATCCCCTAGTTAAAACGTTCTTATAGTGGCCTGTATTTTTGTCATTAAATCTCTTTGCACTTAAGAAACCAGGTGGGATGAAATATGTATAGCTAAGCTCAAAAATAAATGACACTCGACTGGGCCTAAAATTTAAGCTGCCTGCTCTAAAAGTGAAATCTAACATTGATCACTGACTGGCACCTGGAGTTTGTATACATTCCTTATGCCTATATACTAAATTGGAGTCCTGCCTTAATGCTCTGGACTGCAAAGTTGGTTTGAACCACAAGTTCAGCGGTTCAAGTTCACCAGCCACTCCTTGGAAACCCTATACAAGGTCGCTATGGGTCGGAACGGACTCAATGGCACACAACAACAAACATTAAATTTGAGTCCTGGTGTGGGTTAATGTGTTGGACAGCAAAGCCTATTTGAACTGCAAAATTGTAAGTTCAAGCTCATCACCAGCCACTCCTCAGAAACCCTATAAAGGGTCGCTATTGGTCATAACCGACTCGATGACACTTAACACAATAATATACTAAATTATGGAGTACTGGTGTGGCACTGTGGGCAAGGTCAGCGGATCAAGCTCACCACCACCTGCTCCTTGGAACCTACTGGACAGCACTTAACAATGTCACTGGAACATGTCTGACCACTGTCACTAATGTTGGACATTCTTGAGCCATTTGAGTTGAATTTTAGGCAGTAGGGTTTGACTTGGTCCCCTAAAATATATGTTGGAACCCTTACTGCCACACGTGTGCTTGTAGTCTCAGTGGAAGCAGGATTTTCTTTGTTGTGTTAATAAGGTCATTCATTATTAGTGTAGGTTATGTACTAGCCATTTTTAAATAGAAAGCTCAGATTAGACACACACAAATAAGCACATACTGGGGACAGCACATCTGAGAATTCCCACTGACACAGTCTATCCCATATGGATCAAAAATTTCTCACCAGTGTTGGAGACAGACCACAGTTTTTTAAAACAACTTATTCTTTCTTAAACAAGCTTCAGAATATGCATAAAATTAACACATCTGTTGGCGGGTTTGAGGAAATACAACTCTT